ACTCACTTGGAGCGTTGGCGCATACGACGGCGGCGCAGCTTTAAGCGCTTTAAGCGCTTCTTGTGCCACTTCGGGCGCATACCGCGGGGTCGGCTGATGGTACCCATGATTTCCCTAAGTAACATATGGAATAGAAGAAGAAAAAAAAAAGAGTATAACAGTATTCATTAAAGGAATAGGTAAATAAAGCTTGGGTGCAACAATAGACATCAAGTAAAATTATTCTCCAAAGTAAAATGAAATACTTACAGTTGATAAAAATGCTCAGAGACATATATCAACGCAAATTATCAAAACCAGTGTGAAAAGAGCGATAGGTACTTCATGGTAAACAATCGTGATCATTATCTTCTGCGAAACCATGTAATGGGTCGCCATCTCTGTTTCAGGATTCTATTGGAACTTCAGCCCCTGATGCATAGAATATTTTATTTCGAGCGTTGGCGCATACGACGGCGGCGCAGCTTTAAGCGCTTTAAGCGCTTCTTGTGCCACTTCGGGCGCATACCTCGGGGTCGGCTGATGGTACCCATTGTGCCTACACTACTTTTTTAAAGATAAAAATTGAAAATAAAGAGGGAAAGAGAAAGAAAAGGCTAACTTAATTTGTCAAAATAGTTCAAAAAAACTGCTGAGACAATTTGCTTAAAATGTGCAGAAGCACACCACATGCATACACTGTGGGGAAATGATTAGTATTTATTTAAGTAAAACAAAATTAGTTCGGAACCTTAAGCTTTCCCTCCCGGACCTTGTTCTGGATCTCCGTTGGGCTCTCGCCGTCGACCGTGCAGCCGATGGAGACGGCGGTGCCGAGCACCTCCATCACAACGGACTTCATGTTCGCGCCCATCGACTTCGGTTGCGCCTCCTTCGCGATCTTGAGGATCTCAGAGAATGCGATGTTGCCGTTGTGTTTGATGTTCTTGACCTTCTTGCGGTCGCGCGGTGGCTCCTTGAGGGCACGGATGAGGCGGGAAGCAACCGAAGGGGTCACCATTACTGTCGCCACGCGGTTCTTCACACGAAGCTCGCAAGTGACCTTCAGACCCTTCCAGTCCTTGGTGGACTTGGCAATATCCTCACCAATCTTCTTGGCGTTGAGACCGAGGGGGCCGACCTTCGGGGCCAGGGAAGCCGTGGCCGCGACCTCACCACCGACTGCACGCACGATCACGGTGATCTCCTGGTTGGGATCAAACTTCGGAGGCATTGATTCTCAGTGCTACAAGCAAAGGGGAAGAGATCCTAATAACACAAAGCACGAGACGAATTAAAAATAAAGTGATTAAAGATAATAAAAAGTTACATTAGAAGACGGTAAAACATCATTTATATTCAGATAATCCTTCGAGAAGTTATTAATTTCAGACGTCATAATCTGGTGATCAGTTTCCACTGCAATTAAACGCAAAATAAAAGATATAAAACTCTTGAATTCGTAGACGAGGAAAGCACCATAACTTTTACCTCTTAATGGTCATGGTGAAAATACTAACTCCCCATTTAGACCCATGCCTAGAACACTGCTATTGGAGAACGTTCCATTCCTTTCCTCTAGTAACGGCCCAACACTCCGCATCACCTCTTGCACTACTGCTCTACCATTCTCAACTGGGAGCAATTGTTTAGCTTTCTCTACTATCCATAGAGCAGCTTCGTCTAGAATAGACAATGAATTTTGATAACGGCAACTGAGGTCTTGAATAGTCATATTCACAATTTCAAGAGCAGTCTCGAGTGAAATAGGAAGGTACGGAAAAGTTTGTATGATGGAGGTTGAGCGATGCGTGTAAAGATCCTGAAATTCAGTATTAATGAAGTAACGCATTTCGTCAAGGCTCTTGCCTTGTGTGCGACCCTCCTTCCCGAAGTCAGTTGTCACAATCACTATAAGGCGTGCGAGGTCGATCCGTGGAAACTCCGGAAACCGTTCTCCCCGCCCAAGCACAGGTAGAAGAAGCCTCACCTTTTGTGGCTCCAGTGCTGAAAGGTCATTAATAATCAAAACCCCGTTATGGGGGTAGCGTGCGGCGTGTTGACAAATAGTCGGCACAATAGATCGTCGAAACTCAGACAAGGTCATCCCATCATAGCTAGTGCCAGATAGAACCAGCGTAGATTCACCAAGCGAGCAATCCTCGTTTCCACAGCGTTGAGCCACGGCCAAGGAAATTACCTCTGCGGTGCGCGTTTTGCCCACACCGTTGTCCCCCGCCAAATGAAGCACAAGGGGTTCGTGCATGTATGCCAGCTTGTACGCCACCGAGCGGAGGATGGGCTCGAGGGAGTACTGCCCTTTTACAAAACGTGGGCCTAATCGCTGGAGTCGACCTCGGACATACTCACGATAGGCCTTCCCTTGGTGATCAAAAGGAGATGCCCTTAGAAGACACAGCATACGCCCTATCAGGCTTAGCCGCGGGGAGTGACACAGCGGTGGATCGACACAGTCCTCGTGCAGACCACTGAAATTCGATGCACCATTGCTGTGTAACAAATCAATGGATGAAAATAGATAGAGTATTCCACATAGTGAAATCAGCAAAACTGAGAATGTGCTAAAAAACCCTATATTAGTTGTTTTCTTTGGTGTTTTCATTGCTAGATTCAGGGAAGAAAAAACGTGGAAATAGAATAGAAGTTCGTTAAGTGAAAAATTAAACACCATATGGAATCGTCCAACTGTATTTGATCAGATCGTAAATATTTAACCTTTCCTATTTAAATGAAAAAAGTTTTAGAAACATTTCATATTCCACAATATTTATGCATATATACTAACCTTTATTCCACCCTTTATATCATTCTTTACTAACGTTAGATTTCGATGTCGAGTCAGTTATATTCTTATTTAACTAAATCCTTACGTAGTATTTATTAAATATCGCTTCATCGTAAGACTTTTTATATAATTTATTTACCTTGTTGACTATTTTACTATTGTAATTATCCATGTATATATTTTCGAAGTGTCCGACTATATCAACACATTCAATTGTACAGTAGCATTGGCATAATTCACATCGTGAATGATATAAAAATAGTATAAAAATATCTATTAAAATAGTTTGAAATTAAATTAATAAATATTTAACACAAAGCAAAATATGCGAAAAAAAAAATTTTCTCCTTGGGTATGGTAAAAGTTGAAAATATATTTAAGCTTTAAAAAAAAAACGCATAAAGACAGTTGTATATATAAACATTCATGCGTTTTGGAAAGAGTTGAATCTTAACAACCTATCCTACTTAATTTATTCTATACGTTTTCTAATGATTTCTTCACCTCTTCCTCTGGAATATTTCGTGGGCGATTGTAAAACATTGCAAGTGATAAGGCAAAAGCCCACTTTGAGACCATAAACATGCCGATCATTGAGCAGAAGTAACTTCCACCGGTCCACCTCTGTTTTATCTTGAGACCCCTTATCATCAACCAAATACCAAGTCCCAAACTAATAAATCCAAGGCACATAAAAACAATATAGAAACATGTGCGAGCCTTGCTTCCGTATGGAAATCTGTCGTATAACTTATAACGAGATTGAAAATGCATCCAAAGGCGTACGCTGATCAGAAAAGAGGCGACGAAAAACCCTCCCGATGCCCATTTATTCTTAAAATGATAAAGAAAATCGAAGGCACCAACCAGGTATGAAATCACGAAGACAACATAAAGGACCACCATCAAGTTATAAGTTACTTTCTTCCTTCCATTCTTTGTTAGCTTCCACGTTTGAGGCATGATTTAAAGATAAATTGATAATCGTTAGTTGATTAAATATTTTTTAAAGATAAATGACTTTCTAAAATAAAAAATATATCTGGTGTAGCAATCGAAAAGTGTAGTTTAAAAAAAGCAAACAAACACATTAAATTAAAGAAATATATATTTGGAAAGGAATTAAAGGAAAGGGTTCATATTCACCAAAGAGATATGCTAACTATATTCCACCACTTAAGTGCTAAATCGAATATTATGCTTTGATCAAACGCCAAAAAAAATTAAGAATGTATTTAGTTACAATTTCTGTGACGAGCACGAAATCGAAATGCTTCTGTATTTATTCATTTCATTCCTTCGTAGTCCGCCATAAAATTCATAATTCAGGCCTCTTGACATCCTTTATAAGTCTTCATGAGGGCTGCCTGTGCGTGGTATCCTCCATCGCTTGGTTGCATTTCCTAGCGCAGTGATCAATAACATTTCATTGAACAGACCAGCATACCCCCCATTGAGGCTGTCATCATAGAAAATTGGTCGCCCCATCACAACAATCCCAAGTCCCTCTCCATAGCGCACCTTCCAACGTCGCGACGTGTGACACGCAACAGCCTTTTAGCCCCCTTAAGCCTTCGGTCTTCATAGTTAGAAGGTGTAATTCCTTGTAGCCATATCCTCTTCCAACCTATTCCCCTAGCTCAATGTCCAATATTCGTTGTCACCTTGGAAAACGAAAACGCCCCCAGCAAAAGGGCCAAACCCTCCTTTAAATACGCGTTTCGGGTCCTTGGCATTGTGAACGCGATCC